ATGCAACTCAACACAATCGCAGGACGCACCTATAATGACCTGTCTCAGTACCCTGTGGTGAGGGCCCCACTCTGTATGCATACCCTGCCTCCTGCTCTCTGATTCGTCAATGCCAGCTAATGGGCGAGGCCCTAAGCACGGCCCTGAATAGTTCACCCATAACCAAGGTCTGGCCTCCTCCCCTGCCCTCTTTTCTTCCTGCTGGGCCCTGGTCTCCCGGAAGGAGTGTCCATCTGTGCTCCTGCAGCCTTCCGAGTGGAGCTGTGAACAGGCTCTACTCATCTTCCCAGGGTTGAGGGCAGGGCAGGGTGGGCTGGCCAGCCATCAGGGTCTTCATGCAGCTTCTTCGCTGGGTGGGGGGCCAGTTCCCCTGGGTCTTGCAGGACTACGTGTCCCCAGTCTTGGACCTCAGCAATCCAGCTGTCTTCCGGGACCTGTCCAAACCCATCGGTGTGGTGAACCCAAAGCACGCCCAGCTCGTGAGGGAGAAGTGAGCATGTTGTGGGCAGGGCAGGGCTCAGTGGGCTGGGGTTGGGTGGGCGAAAGGCTCCCGCTGACTTCGGTGGCCTGTGGCTTCAGGTATGAGAGCTTTGAGGACCCAGCAGGTACAATCGACAAGTTCCACTACGGCACGCACTATTCCAATGCAGCAGGGGTGATGCACTACCTCATCCGTGTGGAACCCTTCACCTCCTTGCACGTCCAGCTACAGAGCGGCCGGTACGCCCAGGGCTGATGGGGGGTTGGAGAGGAGGGGGACACAGCCTTGCTGGCAGCTGCTTGTCTGCCTCTGTTTTTATACATCCGTCTGTATTTATCATGTGGCCTTGGCTGTGTCCCTCCACCAGCTTCGACTGCTCTGACCGGCAGTTCCACTCTGTGGCAGCGGCGTGGCAGGCACGCCTGGAGAGCCCTGCTGACGTGAAGGAGCTCATCCCAGAGTTCTTCTACTTTCCCGACTTCCTGGAGAACCAGAATGGTAGCTGCAAGGCACTGGCTGTGGGAGTGGGGGCCTGGGCACGAGTGCCCATGTGGTGTGGCCAGGGACACACGGGACACTGCTAGCCTTCTCCTCTGCTAGGCTTTGACCTGGGCTGCCTCCAGTTGACCAATGAGAAGGTGGACAATGTGGTGCTGCCCCCATGGGCCAGCTGTCCAGAGGACTTCATCCAGCAGCATCGCCGGGCTCTGGTGAGGGTGACTGCACACAGACAGGCAGCCGGAGTTGGGCTGTGGTGGGGTTTGCAGTCCTAGGACTGACAGCCACTCCCTGCCCTCAGGAGTCAGAGTATGTGTCCACCCACCTGCACCAGTGGATTGACCTCATCTTCGGCTATAAGCAGCGGGGCCCAGCAGCCGAGGAGGCCCTCAATGTCTTCTATTACTGCACCTATGAAGGTAGGCAGGGCGCTACGCGGAGGGTGGGCCAGGGCGCAGATGGAGTGGCAGTGCAGAAGACGCAGAAGGAGCTCTGACTCCTTTGCCTCCCTCTCAGGGGCCGTAGACCTGGACCATGTGGCAGATGAACGGGAACGGAAGGCTCTGGAAGGCATCATCAGCAACTTTGGGCAGACCCCTTGTCAGCTGCTAAAGGTAAGAGCTGCTTGGAATACAGTGGTCAAGAGCGCCCATGTCAGCTGGGCGCTGGTGGCACATGTGTTTAATCCCAGCACTTGGGACACACAGGCAGGAGGAGCTCTGTGAGTTTGAGCTAGCCTGGTCTACAAAGTGAGTTCCAGGACAGCCAGGGCTGTTACACAGAGACACTGTCTCAAACGAAACAAAAGAGCCCTCATGTCAAGGTGCTGACCAGCTCTCCTCTCCAGGAGCCACATCCAGCCCGGCTCTCGGCCGAGGAAGCAGCCAGTCGCCTTTCTCGTCTGGACACTAACTCACCTAGCATTTTCCAGAACCTGGACCAGCTCAAGGCTTTTTTTGCTGAGGTGAAAAGAGGGCAGGAGCTTAGCTTCTTCTGGGAGATGGGTTTAACTACACCGTCCTTCCCTCTTGTGGGGCCAGACAGGAATACTAAATGCATTAACTGACTTAAAGGCATCTTGTGGACATTAGAGTAGGAGGAAGGGGGCTCTCTTGAGGAGGGCCAGGACAAGTTGTGACTTCTAGAACAATCTCTGAGAAGCTGAGTGGGGCCAGGGGTCTGGATGGAGGGACTCTGGCCTAGGACCCTTCCTGCATCCTCACACAGGCTTCGCTTTCTCTCCGGTCATTGGGCTGGGGCCCGGGAGTAACAGATGGAGGATCAAGGCTGAGCCTGAGGTCTTCCTCTGTCTGTGATGCCGTTCTACATACTCAATGCCGTCACTCAGCCTCTATATGACACCCACTCTGCACCCCTGGGGGTCAAGGGCAAAGGAAAGAGGGTACCTGTTGAGAAGACTGTCTCGTTGGGGCTTCTGCTGCCCCTCAACACAGCCAGCCCCCTCATTTCTCTGCAGGCCATCAGTGAAGGCGTACCTCTGGTGTTAGCGCTAGTGCCCCACCGGCAATCCCACTCCTTCATCACCCAGGGCTCCTCAGACCTGCTGGTAAGTGAGCTGGGCAGGGCTCCTCCTCAGCTCATCCCTCCTGCCTTCCCCTAACCCACCTCAGCACCCTCTTTCCAACAGGTGACTGTGAGTGCCAGTGGGCTGCTGGGCACTCATAGCTGGTTGCCCTATGACCGAAACATCAACAACTACTTCACCTTCAGCAAAGATCCCAGCATGGGCAACCCCAAGTAAGACAGAGGCGTGAGCCATGCGCTATGCCTGGACCACCTCCCCACCTAAACGGAATACAGACCAACGGCAAGGGAGAGGTCCGCCAAGTTTCTTCTCTGGCCCAGCCTCCCTTACTGTCTTCTCATTGGCTTAGGACGCAAAAGCTGCTGAGTGGGCCGTGGGTGCCAGGCAGTGGCATGAGTGGACAAGCACTGGCGGTGGCCCCCGACGGAAGGCTGCTCTTCAGTGGTGGTCACTGGGATGGCAGCCTGCGTGTAACTGGGCTACCCCGTGGCAAACTGTTGAACCAGCTGAGCCGACACCTTGATGTAGTGACCTGCCTTGCGCTGGACACCTGTGGCATCTACCTCATCTCAGGCTCCCGGGACACCACGTGCATGGTGTGGCGTCTTCTGCAGCAGGTGTGTATGGAGGGCAGGCCTGTGAGGCTCCTATAGCCCAGACCAGAAGTCCAGCTGCTCCTCAGGGGGCCCTCAGGGCTGCCCCCCCCCCGGTCCTTTCCTCTTACTCCCGTGAGCAAGTCTGGGCCTCCATCGCCCTCCAACCCTCTGGCTCTCTTGCCTGAGTCTTAAGCTAGCCCTGCTTCCCACAGGGTGGCTTCTCGGTAGGGCTGGCACCAAAGCCTGTACAGGTTTTATATGGACACGAGGCTGCAGTGAGCTGTGTGGCCATCAGCACGGAACTTGACATGGCTGTGTCTGGATCTGAGGTGTGTGTGCACGCGCCCCAGGGAGGCTGTTTGCTAAGGCACTGTCCCTGGAGCCTTCAGTTCTCTGCTCAGCATCCTACTGCCTTCCGTAGGCTGGAACTGTGATCATACACACTGTACGCCGAGGTCAGTTTGTGGCAGCACTAAGGCCCCCAGGTGCCACACTGCCTGGACCTGTGTCACATCTGGCACTGGGGTCTGAAGGCCAGATTGTTGTACAGAGCTCTGCTTGTGAACGCCGTGGGGCCCAGGTACGGGGACCGGGTACCCAACAGAGACACCGGGGCAGCTGGCACAGTGGGGCAGTTGCTGATGTCCCCATTTTTTCCAGGTCACCTACTCCTTGCACCTGTACTCGGTGAATGGCAGATTGCGGGCTTCATTGCCCCTGGCAGAGCAGCCTACAGCCCTGGCAGTGGCCGGAGACTTTGTCCTGCTGGGCACCATTCAGTGCTCTCTGCACATCCTCCATTTGAACAAGTGAGCCCCGCTTGTAGCTCCTGGCCCTCTAGGTGGTAGTTGTTGGCACAGGTAACAGGGAGAGCACTCTACCCAGTGGCGCGTTCTTCCAGGTGTGTTACCCAGGGGGATTCCCTCAGCTCCACGGTTGTGGGGTCTTACGAATCCGGGGTTGAGTTTGGGCAGCCTTACAACGAGGAGAGTAGATACAGGATAACGCAGACGTCTGTTAGCTGTGTTTGGGCTCCTTGGTCGTTTCTTACTGTGTGTCTACCTCCCTGCTCTAGACTGCAGCCTGCTGTGCCTCCCCTGCCCATGAAAGTGCCAGTGCGCAGTGTGTCTGTGACCAAGGAGCGGAGCCACGTACTGGTGGGCCTGGAGGACGGCAAACTGATCGTCGTGGGCGCCGGGCAGCCTTCCGAGGTGGGGACAGCAGGCGGGCCAGGCCCGGAATCCAGTAGGGCGGGAAGAGGCCGCCAGGCTCACGGCTTCCCATCCCACCCCTGCTTTTGCCAGGTGCGCAGCAGCCAGTTCGCACGGAAGCTCTGGCGCTCCTCGCGGCGCATCTCCCAGGTGTCCTCCGGGGAGACCGAGTACAATCCTGGCGAGGCTCGCTGAACCTGCTGTCTAGGTGCTGCGACCGTGCCCGAGCACGACGCCCTGCCCACGAGACTGCTGCACCAGGGGGTGGGCGGGGCCCACCCTCCAGCTCAGGGATCGGCAGATGGCGTCACCAGGAAGTCCCGCCCCTCGCCGGCTGAGGGGAGACCTAGCGCCGGCCTCTGAGGCCGCAGCTGCATATTTTGCACAATCTGGGGGGGGGTTCCTACTTTCAAGCCCCATGTTTCAGTGAAGCACAAAGACCGCCCGTGGCCTTAATCCCTAAAGGTGACTTCCACTGCCCATCCTCAGCAATAAACTTGGCCTAGTTTTGTAGCCGCTTGGTTTCTTGAGTATACATGTGCCCGCCTTCTCGGCCTTCTGTGGCCACCATTCTTAGTACCCCGCCACCCGGTCCGGCCTGACATGTCATTCTTCCTGGGTAGGCTGGCCTCCGTGTAGCCAGCCAAGCCACCTCTGTCCTTGCCAGCCGTTTCCTGGCTCTTGGTTCTCAGCTCTGACGGTCCATCGCGTGGCTTTTGCAGGCCGTTTGCGCGCACTGGCAACCAGGCCTGCGTCGGCTCTGTGCTCCAGCGTGGGGCGGGGGCGAGACCGCGCCCTCGAGCTCAGCCCCGCCTCTTCATTGTCCTGCTCCCCTTTCCAACACCCCCACCCCCGCCTTGGCTCACTCTTTCTTGGGCAGACCGGAACCTGCCCTCTCCCGCTGTCTGCCCGGCTGAGTGTACCCTGGCACCCTTGGAGGGGTGGCCGCAGAAGGTCAGGAGGGGTGGGAGTGGCGAGCCAGGTTCTTGCTAGGTGGAAGGGGACAGAACTTTCTTTCTCCCACCTCGAGTGCCCTGATCCTACGGGTACCAGCGTCTGTGTTGGGGTGTGTACAGGCCTGCGGGGGCTGCTGAATTGTTTCTTAGAATCTTGGGCTTAGAGATGGGTGGGGAGGCCGGGACGAGTTCCAGCAGCTCAGGATGGGTGGGGTAGATTCCAAGGCCTGTCTGCTGCTACCGGTTTACAGGCCCACACACCAACTAGGATTCCGGAAGCCCCCCACTCCCAGTGTGGTAAGTGACACAATGGTACCTAGTCCTTAAAGGGGCCGCCCACCCCCGAGGCTTACCTGGCCACACCACAGACACAGCATGTGGTGGACCTTTGGTTAAGCCCCAGTAGCGTCGGTCGGGGCCCTGGGGGCCCTTTCTGAGTCTCTTCCTTCTCCGGGAGGTCTCTCCTCCCTCTCTCAAATTTCCAAATGAGAAAAGACTAACCTTAGGTCCCCGGATCTACAGGTCCGTGGCCTTGCTGAGCCCATTAAGGTCACTCAGCCCTGACCAGAGAGGGCTGGCACCGGAGCAGAGTGGGAGCCTGGTCACTACAGGAGGTCCTGCCTTGGGACCTCAGGATGTTGGGTTTTGGCAGATATGTGTGAGCATGAGGTCCCTAGGGGTGCTTCAGCATGAGATGGAGTCACACTGCATTTATCCGCGCTCTCCTTAAGTCCCTGGACTCAGCCTAGGTGTTTGCCAAAGTCTTTGAGGTAGGGTGATTTCTATCCTGAGCTGTACCCCAGGCCCCCAGCTCAGCCACCTCCAGGCCTGCTCAGCCCTGGCGTGAATCATGATGGAGTGAGCTAGTTATAGGGACTTCTGACGACACATCTGAGGATCGCTTTGTGTCCCCACAGAGTTCCTCTGGACCCAGAAAAGCAGCCCTGTGGCTCCTTCAGCTCAGTGCTGTGCACGACTCACCTTCAGCAAGAAGCAGCCCAGCAGGCAGTGCCTGGCAAAGCCATGCTCTACAACGTCAGCCACAGCAAAGGTGTGGTCTACACAGGTACGCATTCTTTGACCCAGATCCTAGGTAGCAGGCAGACTGGGAGGTGGAATAGGTCATGTGCAATCCATTCACCATTGAACCTCTCTACACTGGGTACAAGGACTGGTCACTAGACGTAAGGCCGAAGAAAACACCAGTATTTACTTCCAGTTAAGTTTTGTTTGGTTTTTGGTTTTTCAAGACAGGGTTTCTCTGTGGCTTTGGAGGCTGACCTGGAACTAGCTCTTGTAGACCAGGCTGGTCTCAAGACTCACAGAGATCCTCCTGCCTCTGCCTGCCGAGTGCTGGGATTAAAGGCGTGCGCCACCAACGCCCGGCTTCCAGTTAAGTTTTATTTTTATGGTTTTGTGAAAACAACACACATCAGTGAGGTCTCACAGACAGTCCAGTGCCACCACGTAAACAGGTGGTGTAAACAGAGAATGAAGAGAGGAATTTTTTTGGTTTTTCGAGACAGGGTTTCTCTGTGGCTTTGGAGGCTGTCCTGGAACTCGCTCAGTAGACCAGGCTGGCCTCAAACTCACAGAGATCCGCCTGCCTCTGCCTCCCCAGTGCTGGGATTAAAGGCGTGCGCCACCAACGCCCAGCAAAGAGAGAGGGATTAAGGAAGGCTTCCAGAATAGATAACTGTCATGTTTTTAGAAGGATCCGGTATAACACCAGAACACAAGTCTAGATACAGCTAGATGGTGGTGGTGCACGCCTTTAATTCCAGCTTTAATTCCAGCACTTGTGAGGCAGAGACAGGTGGATTTTTGTGAGTTTGAGGCCAGCCTGGTCTACATTTAGTTCCAGAACAGCCAGGACTGCTACACAGAGAAACCCTGCCTTGGAAGATGGCAAGACACATCTGCATCATCCAGTGGCAAGCAAAGGGCCAGTCACCTTAAAAAATTATTCATGTGTACATATGTACCTGTACATGTATATGTGTACATATGTAACTGTACATGTGTGCATATGTGTACATGTGTACATATGTGTACATGTGTACCTGTACATGTATATGTGCGATGTTGCCTCCAGAGGTCATAAGAGGGCATCAGACCCCCTGGAGCTCGGGTTCCAAGTGGTTGTGAGCCATCCAGTGTGCTGGCAACGAAACTGTGGTCCTGCAATGGAGCAAGCACTGTTAACCACCTAGTAAGCATGTAGGGTTCAGAGGACTTGTAGAAGTCAATTTCCTCCTTCTACCATGTAAATCCTGGGGGATCACTCAGATTGTCATGCTTGGTGGCATGTGTCTGTCTGCTGAGCCATTCTTGCCAGTTCAGGGCCAGCCAGCTGTGGATGCCATGCTGAATCCTTAACTACCTGGTGAGCTCTATTGCTTTTGGAACTTTCTGCCAAGATGGTCTGGGTGAGGCTGCTGTGGCTCCCCGTCTTGACCACTTCGCCTTTGTCTTCACAGATACAGCCCTGAGGGGGCAGGGTAGGGACAGGGACACAGTGTGGGCAGGCGCTGAAGGTGCCCTGGCCCCCAACACCTCCTCCCCGTTTCCCCCCGAGCCTCCAGGGGCCTCCGGCAGCATCATCCCCGTCTACTGTGCTCTCCTAGCTGCTGTGGTCCTCGGTTTGCTCGCCTACGTGGCCTTCAAATGGTAGGTGGTCTGGGTACTGCCCTGTGGCACCCGCATATCTGGACCCCCAGCCAGCTCCTTGTCTTGCCCTCTGCCCCCTACAGTTGGCGCTCACGTAAGCAAAGACAACAGTTGGCCAAAGCTCGAACCGTAGAAGTTGGAGACCCTGACAGGGACCAGCGGCATGGTGACAGCGGTGTCTTCATGGGCGCTCACAGTCTGGAGCCCTGTATCCCCGGCCAGGGTGCGCATCTTTCGTCAGCCGGTAGCCCTTAGTGTTTAGTGCTCTCACCACCCACTGACGGATCTCATCTCCTACCCAGGACCACACCCTGACCCTGGCTGCCGACTCTACCTGCATATTCCCCAGCAGCAGCAGCAGGAGGTCGAGCGGCTCTTGATGTTGGGTGAACCTGCCAAGGGCTGGCAGGGGCTGGCAGGCCAGCTGGGCTACCAGGCTGAGGCTGTGGAAACCATGGCCAGTAGCCAGGTGCCAGCCTACACCCTGCTGAGGGACTGGGCTGTCCAAGAAGGAAACAGAGCCACCCTCAGCGTGCTAGAGGACGGCCTGGCTGCCATAGGCCGAGAAGATGTGGTCCAGGTTTTGAGCTCACCAGCTGAGGGCTGCTCTGTGGTGTGAGTGACACCCCCGTGCTACCCGCACTGGCACTCCTTACCATTCTTACCACCTCAGGTCCCCTTCTTGAACTTCTGGCTTCGGTCACTTCATGTCCCTTCACCTTCCTTTCCAAGACAGAAAGCGGGGTATGGGGGACGGGAAAGAGTGGGGCACAGCTCTGCCAGCAGATCCCTGGTTCTGCTTCCCTTCATTTAGCTCCAGCTATTTTTTAAAAACCACGTATTAAAGGCAACTTTGACTTGTGTTCTAGTCCATTCGGCTCCTTGGGCCTACAAGACAATTGGATAGCTGTGAAAAGGAAGTCCGTAAGATAGGGAGGACCCTCTCCATGCAGCAGCTGGGATAGCAGGCACTTCCGTACATGGGCTATGGGGTTCGTCCCTGCTCTTCAGTATTTGGATTGCATTAGGAAGCCAAGTGTCCTTCGCTTAGCAAGGGGCATGTTAGTAAGTTCCCTATCCCCGAGATCCCATGTGCATCACAGGACCCTTGTGACCTGTGCTGTGACAGGCAAGAGGTAAGATAGTTGTGGCAAGCTACGTGTTGAGGACTTCAGGTCATCTTTAGACAAGAAAAAACATTTCAACACTGGGACTCTGGGCTGGGGGGTGTAGCTCAGTGGAAGAGTACTTGTCTAGTACACATGAGATTCTTAGATTCAATCTCCAGAGCTACAAAAAGCAAAAAGCAGACTGTCACTCAGGCAAAGGAATTCCACACAGGCTTCCACAGCTGCTCGTGTGGCCTGAACACAGTGGGCAAGCAGGCTGTTCTGGACGGGGCAGCTGAGCCAAACCACTTGTACTCCCACGAATATTCCCATCCTCAAGTGGGAACAGGTAACTGCGTTACTCTGCCTTCTGAAGGACCAGTGCACATGGATTAGATGGCTTTAGGTTCATCCAGACTCACTGAGAAAACCGGGGTTCCAGTCAGAAGAAACAGAGCCCAAAGTAGATCCGTCTCTGCCTCCCTCACTGCACTGAGATGCTCCTGGCATTGGCTACTCTGTTGCTCCTCAGAAATAGTTGACCATAGTCACTTAACAGTCTGTCCTTGTTGAAATAAATGTCAGCCAGGCAATGGTAGCTCACATCTGTAATCCCAGCATGGTAAGAGCACAGGTTCGATGGCAGCCTGGCCTACAGGGAGAGCTTCTAAAACAAAAAAGTGGGGGAGGTGATATTACCTTTACCCGAAGAAGGCCCTAAAGCTACTCCCCAAGGATAAGGAGGAAAACCAGAGAAAGCTCACACTAGTACTCAAGGAACACCACACTCCACTTCAGCAGGCAGCTGCAGGATCACCAAGTTAGCAGTAAGTGTAAAATTTTGCATGTACAGACTGCGCAGTTTAGCCCATCCTAGGAAATTTGAACATTAGGGAGCATATGGGGAAAGATAAAAAAAAAAAACATTTGGGGCTGGAGAGATGGCTCAGCGGTTAAGAGCACTGACTGTTCTTCCAGAGGTCCTGAGTTCAATTCCCAGCAACCACATGGTGGCTCACAACCATCTGTAACGAGATCTGGTGTCGTCTGCTGGCAGGCAGAAGACTGTATACACAATAAGTAAATAAAATATTATAAAAAAAGTAAAGCTCAAAGATGTCTAAAACTTTACAGCTAGTCACCACTCTAATAGGAGGCTGCCTCAATTTCCCTGGAAAAACACGGGAGCAGACACACTAGAAAACGTTGAGGGTTGAGTGAATCATGGTCCGCTCATGCTGTAATGTTACGAAGGCTATCGTATTGTGGGAAAAGGCTTTATTTCATTAGTTAGCACTTGATATCCAGGGCTCACAACTCATGAACTGTCTCAAGTAGCTTTGTGTATCAGTGGCATGGTATTAGGTACTAGAAGCAGTCCAGATACCTGAGATATGAAGTAAGAACTCTGCCATTTCATTTAAGGTACTTGAATATCCATACACTTGTAGTCAATCCCCCAGAGGTAGCGAGGAAAGATTTGCTACAAAGTGTGTATTACCATAAAGTAAGGGTTTCTGTCCCTTGCTTTGCCTTAGTCTTGTCAACAGTGCCAATCTCTGGAAGACTTGTAAGGATTAAATGAATATTCCCTACTCTCTGAAATGCTGAGCACAGGCACGGGGCTCTGTAGGTCCTGACAGCCTCAGCCTAACTTGTCTTTTCCTTTCTCCAAGAGAGTGCTGGAGTGAGCAGAATCACACTCTTGAGAACAGACAGCCCCAATCTAGTATGAACTTCCTCCCTGCGCATCACTAAGGAGAGGCTTGCTGAGCCGCATCCACAATAGCAAGCTGCACGCCAGCACCCATCCCCTCCTACGCGGTCCTCACTGCCTCCCTCTACTGCCCAGCACCCATCCCCTCCTACTCGGTCCTCACTGCTCCCCTCTACTGCCCAGCACCCATCCCCTCCTAGGCGGTCCTCACTGCCTCCTCTACTGTCCAGGCCCAGTGTCAGGTAATCAAGTGGGAAGCCAGGACCCAAACATTTCTCCCAAACTGTTGGCTGGGAGAAATGAAATCTGAGGAACACTCTCCGGCCAGGGCGTGCGAGTGAAAAGGCATTTGGCTTTTCTCTTGACTGACCCACTAACCAAAATAAAACAGCCCAGTGGCAGTGAGGTCTCAGGTCATGCTTCCTCCGCTCTGGAATGACTGAATTGTCTCACCTGAGCTCAGACTTAGACCTGAGGTCTCAGCCTGTAGGAACAAAGCTTGCAATAAAATGCAGTAGCAATGATCCATCTTGGACTCCACACACCAGTGGCTACTACATCTTTTTTTCTCTCCAGTAACATCAACAAAAACAAACTTGATTAAGTTCTAGGGAACACACATTGCAAGTTCTTTAATTGATTTTATTTTTTACATAAAAAGTTCAGTAAAAATTGGATAAAGTAAAGTGATCTTAAGCAGTAAATCAATCTTATCAACATAGCACAAGGCTGGCCAAAACCACAAGGCAGCCTGCTTTGGAATATTTACATGATAACAAATTAAACCTTGCAGGAGAATTTATACTGTCCTTACAAAGTCTTCCCATGATTCTAGCACATAGAGGCTAACGGCAAACAAAAACTGAACAAAAACCAGGAAAAACAAATTATTTTCAATATATTCACATATACATTAAAATATAATACAGATCATCGGGGTAAAGGGTCTTGGGGGAGGGTGCGCATGGGTCTGTGCGCTGACAGCACCGCCAAGGGGGAGACCCAGATTTGAGAATGGGGTCGGGTGTGGCCAAGGTCTTCCCTAGGCTACTGCCTCTGATGGCCGGTAACTGTTCCATCCTAACAGTTCACAACTAGGGTCATTTGTAATAGAGCTCGTTTGTGGCTTACAGTTGACACCTGCAGGTTACAACTGCTCAGGATGATGGGTCATCACACCAGATACGTACAGGCCTGGCCATGGGGGAGGGCAGAAGCCACAGGATTCGTCCTTCCTGATCACAATGCAAGTCACTCTAATTCAGTGTCCTCTTTAGGTTTGTAAACAGCCCCAAACTTCTGCATGTACTTCTTAATGTACTCCTTGGTTTTGTGTTTCACATTCTCATTGCACTCCAGGTCCTCGGGGTTCTTACAGTACTTCAGCTCCTTATTCATAACTCCGTGAGTCAGCTGTCCAAGGCAAAGGAAGAGCAGACACCATCAGAATGGAAAATGACTGGATAGGGAGGATGAATGAAACCAAAAGGTGGGTGGGGGCAGGCTGGCGCAGGGACAGAGGGGAAACCCAGTTTTCAAAGCCTCTTGGACGTCTACTTTCCCACCTCTGAACCCCGCCTCACATTCCTGGGCCCAAGCCTTGGCATCTGGCGCACAAAAGCACCTTTTCTGAGAAGGAGAGTATCTTAGAACTGTGACTCGCTGAGGACCAGCACCAGCAGACAGAAGCAGAGAGTACCTTTCGAGCAAGGTGTTTGAAATCCTCAGTCGTGCTGATTCTGCCCACCTTGCAGTCGGGCTTCCGGTAAGGATTCAGGCACTGGACAATGAACTGAGACATCTGCAGACAGAAGGCAGGAGACAGCTGCTCAACTATGCCGATGGGGTCATTAGCAAAGGCAGCAAGAAGCATGGCTGCCAGTCCCCATCGTCTCCCTTGGGTGCTGATCTGGCCAGCAGAGTGCTAGGAAGCCAGTGAGGTCTAAGAAAGTGATCCTGGCCAAGCCCTGAAAGGCAAAGAGCCTCTTTAGCCGCACCAACCAAACCTCACTTAAGAGAGGCTGCAGCACCAGCAACAAGGGTCCAGGAGTAGCCTCTGGTTTCACACAACTAAAAGTCCAATGTTAAGAGGCTGGACCTATGAGAGGTAATCAGGCCACAGGGCTTCTCCATCATGAGCAGAGCTTCTGGAGTCTGGGCTAAAGCTCAGTTGGTAGAGTGCTTGCCTAGTACTGTGTACTCCTAGGAGGAGTTAGTGGCTAGCTTCTCTGGACCCTGGGGGCAGGCCAGAGCATCAGAGTATTTCTCAGAGTAACCCTGAGCTGCCAGAGGGCTCTGCAACCCCAGGGCTGCAGGTAGGCATTTTGCCCTTAAAGATTACTGCAAGACTGTAAGTATTACATGTTTATTCACAGACCACAACAACCCAAAGCATATGGACACATGGGTGATTATGATGCAGGGCAGGACTCTTCAGTCCACTATCTCCAATGCTGTCTTCTGAGCTGCTTCTGTAAGGTTTATCCTATCCAGTAGCTCTTAGGGGTCCCTCAGGGTCACAGAGGAAAGAATAGAAAAGGAGCCACTAACAGTTACTTCACAGAGTATCCTGAGCAGGCCTCTCTACCCCGCCAAACTCTGTGACCCTTAAAACATTCAAGGAATGGGGCTGGATCACAAATTGGATTGGTTGAGCTGGAACACCAACACCATACATGGGCAGGAGGAACTGTGATGTCTGCACGACGCTTTTGGTTTAGTTGCCACAGCTGGCTGGATAAACCGGTCAAAGGATTTTCTGTGGTTGCCTGGCCTCCAGATTTTCCCCTTTAGACCACTCTTCACTTAGTCAAGCTTTGATCATTCTCGGCTTACACCAGCGGTTCTCTAAGCACACAGGCACAAAGCCCCACACGAAAGGGCACAGTGCTGCCCAGCCTTATTTCCACCCTCACGCGACCAGTGCTCAAGACTGAAGGGCTGCTCTCAACTTCCTCAGTGCTTCTGTACATTCCCATGCTACCCTTGCCTTCCCTTCAGACCCACGTGAACAGCTTCTACCTTAGATTCAAGAGCC